AAAAAAAAATAAAATTTAGTGAAATTATATTAAAACCTTATTAAAAAATCTGTGAAATTTTAAAAAAGGTAAAACTATATCAAAGCTTATAAAAATGCAAAACTATATCAAAATCTTAGTAAAAATTAGTAAAACTATAGTTTAGATATTTTGCCAAATCCAAAATGAGTTTAGATAAGCAACCTTAATAATTACTTTCCTTTCTATTGTAAATTGTTTAATATTATCTAAAGTTTAATTTTATTAAAAATTTGTTTATTTAAATAAAAATATCTTTTTATTTGATATTATTCTTAGCAGAAATCCTAATTAAAATAATATTAAAATCTTTATTTTGATATATAACCATTTTGTAAAAAGAAAAAAAAAATTTTTTTTTTTACTTTTTAAATTAAATATAATTTTTTTTTAGTAAAATAAATTTAACTTTAATATTATTCAAAAATTTTTTGAAGTTTTTCTTACTATAAAACATTTATATTAGTATTTATAATTGATTAAAATGTCATTTTAGAATTTAGAATATTAGAAGTTATTTAAATATTTATATAATAAAATCTCTTATATTTTTATAATGATTCTTATCTCTATTCTTTATTATTAATTATTTTTATTTTATAGATTAATTTTTGCCTATTATAATAAAATTTTTATTATGGTTTAAATACTCTCTAAAATAATTAAACCAATTTATTATTAAAAAAAACCTTTGATAATATTTTATGTGACCTAATAAATAATAGATATTTTTTTTTAATTTTTTATTTTATGATTATTCTAAATATTTGATTTTTTTTAATAAGCAAGTTAGTTAGTATTAAACATATATTAGTATACATAATTTTAGGATTAATTATCGTCCTCCTAGAAAAAAAATACTAACTAGTTTATAAGAGAAAATAATAAGGTATATCGATATGATTGATTAGTTAATAGCTAAGCTATCAATCAAATTTATCAAGCTTTTGTTTCCATAAATGGTATCAGATTTTGCATATAAATCTGTACAACAATAAAAAAACTAAAAAATATATAAATTCAACTCAAAAAGATGATGGTAGACGAAATTAATTTTTTTTTTTACTTGGTATAATTGTAATAACAATTAATTTTTATTTTAAACCATTTCCTAAATATTACAATGGAAGAGCAAACTATTCAAGCTGGTAATGTTAGTGAGGAGCAAAACCAACAGGGAGTTTCTGAGCAAACAGAACCGAAAGATACGAACCAACAAGGAGCTTCTATTAGTCCTCATACAGAAGAACCGAAAGATACGAACCAACAAGAAACTTCTATTAATACGCAGACAGAAGAACCGAAAAATACGAACCTACAAGAAGCTTCTATTAGTACGCAATCGGAAGATAACGTCAATAACGTGGAGAATAAGAAAGTGACAGTGGAAGACGTGGGGTCGAAAGAAAATTTAGTAAAAAAAAATGGTCCAGATGAGAACTCGAATGATACGAATTCTAACGATACGAATACTGCTAGTAGTGCAACAAGTTCGACTTTGAATAATGAAGCATATGAATTAACGCCTACAAAGAAGAAGAAGAGGAGGAAGAAGAAGAAAAAAGCAGTATCGGAAGATTTTTTAGATTTGCATGATGATGGGCCAAAAGAAGAAAATGAGGATCTTCTCTATGATCCGTAAGTTTAAAATTGCTTTTGATCTTACCTTATCATAAATTTTTAACTTCACGTGATGATATTTATTATATTGATTTCTGAAAACATTTGTCAACACAAAGATCAAGACCAATAACACATCGAATAGAAGAAGCCATTCAAAAATTTAGAAAGAACCGTAAATTCACTCCAATTCGTAATCAGGTTTTCACCTCATATCTACGTTTTGGTGGGATTAGTACGGGTCCAAAACAATTTTTGAGTCAAGATGGGGCTGACAAAGAAGGTGAAGATGCACAAGATATTGCGGCGCGTCGCAGTACAGATTTCGTTGAAGATGACGACGATGATGATATGGAAGTAGACTTTACGTATACTGTTCAAGTCTATTTGTCTGGCTTTTTGATAGACAAATCTGGTTATGTTCAGATGGACCAATTTCGTGAAGCACCTCAGGTTGTGATTTCATTTTTAAATTATTTGTGTAATCGTAGAGTATGTCCAGAATATGATGATGATATGCAAAAGGCTTTACGAATCGCCAACATTGCAGCGATCGAATTGCCGAACTGTAAAGCACTTGCACATGATGCGCCAGGAAAATTCAACAAAGCGTGTTCTTTGTTATTTGGAGGAGAATTATATGGTGTGCTTGATGATCCTTGGAATGGAGAAGATAAGGTAGCATCAATGATCGGAATTTCAAAAAGGGAGGGAATGCAACTTATTAAAAAAGTATTTGGAGACAATGCATTAGAAGAGTTGTCACTTGTGGAAAAAGATTCTAAATATACCTTGACATGTGAAATTATTGAGGTGGTGCCATTTCAGGCCCATAATTCAAGTACAAATGGTTCTACAAACGCTAACGGAGAAAATTCGGCGGTGAATAGCAATGAATCAATTAATCCAAATAAAGAAGTACAAGAAGCTAATGATGAAAAATCAGCGGTAAATAGAGATGAATCACCTAATCCAATTAACGAGGCACAAACTAATGGTGAAAATTCGGCGGTGAATAGTAGTGAATCAACTAATTCAAATAACGAGGCAATTAATAACGAAACAAATTTCACGAGGATAATGTTACGTGAGCGTGACGTAGAAAATGCGGAACCTTTTCATATCACTGTCACTCCCGAATTAGGGAGATTTGCTACGCCCGGAATGATTATCACCTCAGATTTTTATAAGTTATCTAATGGGTTTTGGTATTGGGATAAAGTAACAAATGTATACCCCTCATATTATCTCCAGTGTGATGATGATTCTGATGATGATTGAAATATTCGATTGGTTTTGCAAATATTTTTATAAATATCAAAAAAAAAAAAATTATTCAAAATTTCTTTTTTATTTCCTTGGATATTTCCATAAATAAAACTGGACAATAACAAAGCTTATTATATTTTACGTTTTATTACATTTTAAATTTCTTTGAGTGTCATCCTTATGTTATAACACTAAAATTGATCAGATGCATTTTAGAGTAGATGATGGGATAAGTTTAATATGATTGGTTCAATTATTTTTAAAAGAATGTATTTGCGAAAAAAAATCTATGATTTTTAGGATCAGATTAGATTTTTTTCATTTTCCCGGCAGTTTCCCCTTTTCTAATATATCAGAAACTGATCTATTTATATTAAGAACTTCGAGAATAGACTATGCATAGCACATGTATTTTGTATAACCGCCCTAATGTTGTGTAACGACTTAAATCACGAAAAATTTTGATATTATTAGTTGTTTAACAAATCAAGATTAACTTTCTGAAAATGTCTCACCTGGGAAATACAAATTCTTCTTTGAATGTCTCTATTTTAAGGGAATTGGCAAGAAAACAATTGACCAATGTTTTAGATTCAGTATGTGAACCTTTTGTTACGGACACCTTTAGCTTAATCTTGTATACTTTTGTATATTTAATTTATTATTGATAAACGTATAGGTTAGAGGGAAAAAATGTTTAGTACTGGATCCAAATATTAGTGCACCTTTGAGTTTAATAGCTGAATTTTCTTTGTTAAAGGTATCTCTTTTTTTTTCAAGATTGTTGCAGAAAATGAGAGATTTATTAATAATCTTGTTTAATCAAGGAACATGGCGTAGAAAAGGTGCATTATCTACAACCAGGACCTTTCGAAACCGATCTAAAAAGTTTGATTTATATATGTCGTCCCCAATTGAATTATATGAAATATATTGCTGGTATATATTTTACATCCTGTTTTTAATAATAAAAATCTCGGATTATTTTCTAATACATTATTGTTATTTATAGAACATATAGGTCATCATCAAAAGAGCGATCCCTCATCAGATTATGAATATAATCTTTTCTTTGTTCCTCGAAGGACTAAAATTTGCGAAAGGGTTTTAGAGGAAACCGGTGTTTTTGGAGATATCCTTCCTTTA